GCCCCATCCCTGGGAACGACCAAGGTCAGGTTGGACGGGGCTCCGAGCGACCTGCTCGAGCTGAAGCTGTCCCTGCCCGTGGCGTAGGTGACCTTCAGAGGTCCCTTCCCACCCAAACGATCCTTCGATGGATTCCATCCCACCCCGTCCCTTCTCGACCGCCGCAGGTATCCCGGTGGCCGACGTCTTCCCGATGCGACCGGTGACGTTGGGTGAACCCAACACGCTGGTGTGTATGGTGGGGAACATCTTCCCGCCGGCGGTGGAGATCAGCTGGCAGCTGGACGGGGACCCCGTCACCCAAGGGGTCACCCACACCCACTACACCCCCACGGCCGACCTGGCCTTCGTCCGCTTCTCCTACCTGCCGGTGACGCCCGCCGCCGGTGACATCTACGCCTGCGTTGTCACCCGCGAAGGGGACAACACCTCCGTCATCACCTACTGGGGTGAGCGTGGGGACGGGGACGGGGACACGAGGGGACACCGGGGCTGGTGGTGACCCCCTCTTTGGTGTCTCCCTCCCCGTAGTGCCCCAAAACCCCGTCCCCTCCGAGGTGCTGGAGACGGCGCTGTGCGGCGCCGCCATGGCATTGGGCATCCTCCTGGCGCTGCTCGGCATCGCCATGATCCTGGTGGCGCGCCGCAGCACCCACGGTACGGCCCGGACGCCGGGGTGTCCCCGGTGGGGTGGGGGTGGGGTGAGGAGGGGACTGTCACCAACCCCGCTCTTGTGTCCCCCTCCCCAGGTTGAGCACGGGTGCAGAGGCCGGCGCCGCTCGGTGCAGGAGTGGTGCCTCAGTTTCCCCACTGCCGAAGGGTGGGAGGGGGCCGCGGTGGTGGCTTCTCCGCTGCCTGATATTGGGGTTGGGCTGGATCGCACCCCCAAAGAGCCGTACCCCGCTGGCGTGCCTCAGTTTCCCCAGTATGAAAGGGCGGGACGTGACTGCGGCGGTGGCTTCTCCGCTGCCTGATCCTGGGGTTGGGCTGGATCGTACCCCCCCCAAGGAGCCATCCCAGACAGGCGTGCCTCAGTTTCCCCGCTGGGATAGGGTGGGAGGGGGCCACGGCGGTGGCTTCTCCGCTGCCTGGTACTGGGGTTGGGCTGGATCGTACCCCAGCCCCAAAAGGCGTGCCTCAGTTTCCCCACTGCCGAAGGGTGGGAGGGGGCCGCGGTGGTGGCTTCTCCGCTGCCTGATATTGGGGTTGGGGTGGATCGCCCCCCCAAAGAGCCGTACCCCGCTGGCGTGCCTCAGTTTCCCCAGTATGAAAGGGCGGGACGTGACTGCGGCGGGGGGCTCTCCCCCGGCCGGTCCCTGGGGT